CGATAAATAAATAAAATTTGCTGAAGATAGTCCTATCCTTATTTCTAACACAGTGATGGAGTTTAAATGACTTTGTGATTCCCACCTGCTAGCTGAGCACCAACTGGGAGGGGGAAATAGACAGAAGGAAAACTCACTTATCCACAAATCTCAGATAACCTGTCCCATACTAGATACCACTTGAGAAGAAAATTTCCACCTTTTTTTTGCAACTAATCGTCTCAATCTGGACATATGGAGAATGTTTTCATAGTCAGAGGGGATTACTGGGAGAAAAAAAGGGTTTATTGAATTCACCATTTTTATAAGCTTAGAAAGTAGGTTGATGAATTTGTACTGAAGTATCATAAACACTGACTAAAACTGAATTCAGAGAGGGCCTCAAAATCTAAATGGAGCTTAATCTGAATCCACAAAGTTCAAAAAACTAGAAATTTATTTGAAAACCAATTGTAAGAAAGGTGAGGAAATCAATATACATTCCTCAGATACACAGACTTGCCAAACTTCAAGACATTCTTCAGTAAAGAAATATCTGAGACAAGATTAAACACAACTCCAAATAATCCTGTTTGTTACCACAGTCAAAGCCCTGGATCAGAGTCAAAACCTTTGGATCTGAACCTGTTAGTTTCCCAAACTCGAATATGGAGAACAGAATACTCTGGGCTAACGATGGCAGGAGGAAGCTGATTCCAGAGCCTCCAGAGAGTTTTGTTTTGGGGTTATCTCCAATGTTTCAAGGGCCACTGCCACTAACTGCAAGAAATGATCTTCATAATCCATCCCAAGACCTACTGGAGACAAAGTTATCTTCAACTAATTATCCCTTAAAAACCAAAAATTTATTAAGTAGAACACACTGAAAAGGCATTTACTAAGTAGAACCAAGTACTTAGTACAGCCATTCTAAATTCTTATAACTTTGCCATGTTATATGGCAAATTAGGAGCCAATTCCTGGCTCTCAAGTTCGATAACTTACTTGCCTCCAAATGCTCTTTCTGCATGTTAAGCCAAAATCTTAAGAGATCTAAGACTGACACAGACACTAGCAAATGAATCACCTGTTTTCCCTACTAACACTGTTTTTCTCCATAAAGTTCTCTTTTTTTAACCCACTGAGCCACCCAGGCACCCCTAAAGTTCTCTTTTTTTAAAATAGGCTCGATACCCAGCACAGAGCCCAACGCAAGGCTAGAACTCACAATCCTGAGATTAAAAGTTGGACACTTAACTGAGCCACCTAGGTACCCATCTCCGTAAAGTTCTATTCAGCATTTCAAAATACCCCTCTACAGGGCACCTGGACCACTCAGCCAGTTAAGTGTTCAACTCTTGATTTTGGCTCAGGTCATGATCTCAAGCCTGTGAAATCGAGTCCCACATTGGGTCTGGCGCTCTGTGTGGAGCCTGCTTGATTTTCTCCCTCTGCCCCTCCCCACTCATGCATACTCTCTCTCTAAAAATAAAAAACACAATAAAATACCCCTCTATAATAATACCAAGAAGTGCTCATGAGTTTAGCCTGTGGCTCCCTAGGCTAAAAGGCTTCAGAGTGAGAGTGGAACAAAACCATGTGGGAAATTCTTTCTTTCTCTTTTCCTCAATGCCGTGGACTTTGAAAGCTAGGCAAAGGCAAGGATTCTGCATTTAATCAGCAGATGAATAAGAAAAAGGTTTGAATTTAGAAAAAGCATAAATGGGTGCAAGAACATTCAGAAAAGAGTACTGCCTCTATTTCCTTGCACAGCAGCTCTCAGGATCTGCCAATGAACCTCATTTTGACATGGAACACCCCATCTACTCTAATCCGGGGCATATCCCTCAAGAGACTGTTGGTCAACCGGAACTCTGCCAACTTCTGCTCCGGAGCTGTGTGGAGAACAGTAGCAACAAGAGACTACTTTGAGAAGGAGATCAACAATCACACTTGAGAAGAAAAGAAGTTATTTGGCAAAGGGAAGCATGTTGCCAAAATGTTAGTCACAGCTTAAGGTCCCAGTTTGTGTCTCTGCAACTATTCTTTGCCCTGACAGAATTGATTCTCTTGCCCAGAAAACCCGGCTCAGCTTCTGTCACCCTCCCCATTTGAAGCAGTCAAGAATCCTTTCACTTTGGAGGTATCAAACTGTGAGAGAGACAACATGTCCACCAGAAGCTAAAAAGGAGGGGGGAAATATGTAATTTGCCATTTTCCACCTAGGACTGGCTCAAATAGATCAATGGAAAAACGTGACAGGATAGGAAAAATGTAAAATCCTATATTAAAGAAGTAGGCTAAACCAAAAGCCTGCCCAGTCCTCTGAGCCCCCATAACTTATTTCCAAACCCTCTGAAAAATAAACCAAAAAGAGATCCTGTGGCTGAATAACAGCAAAATATTAAGCAGGTTTTTACCCCCAAATAAGTATATAGTACATATTTTATAGCTTAAAGCCCTTCCTGCTCTTGCTGGGGTTAGGAGGAAGACTAGGGTTTGTTGAAACAGTCTGAACCAGCCGCCCATGATTTTCAGAATCACTTCAGAGCAACAGAAAAACAGACTCAAGTACACTACGTTACTCTCCCAAAGAAGAGGTCAAGAAAGAACATCTGACAAATTTCTCTTCAAGAGGAACAGGACTTCTCTCTTCCCTCTTAAAAGCCATTAATAAAACCTGGAAAATCCACTGTTCTTACCACCTTCCATCTTCCCCTGCATTTCCCCTTTGTGCTGACATCACATAACTAATCAGTACCAACTGAAGTAAACACTACTCTCATATCAAGTATGAGGTAGAACTGGAAACTGCCCCCTCCTAAGCAAATCCACGTCAGACCTCAGAAATGCCAAGACTTTCAGGAACACTTCTTCTAAGCTAAATTAAATAAGTCCACCTACGGGCAAAGTGTTTAGAATATTATGCCCAAAGAAAATGTTGGAATAGTCAAGATTTCAAAATATTAACAATAAAGAAGCTAGGGAGCCTGGGTGGCTCAGTGGGTTAAGCCTCTGCTTTCGGCTTGGGTCATGATCTCAGGGTCCTGGGATCGAGCACCACACTGGGCTCTCTGCTCAGCGGGGAGCCTGCTCCCCCCCCCACCGCCGCCCCGTCTCTCTCCTGCCTCTCTGCCTACTTGTGATCTCAGTCAAATAAACAAATAAAATCTTAAAAAAAATAATAAAGAAGCTAAAACTATCCACAAACACACTGCTCCCCACCACCTGGCAATGAGGCCAATGTGCCTGGGCCAAAGAAAAAGAATTCGAATATCTAGAATATGATTTTTCAGTGTCTTGAATATGATTTTTCTAGAATACAATTTTCCAGTGAATATGTCTAGACTATGATTTTTCAGTGACTTCTCAGGGTTCATGAGAAAAGTCAGTGTTTGGCAAAAGTAAAAGAAAACACTGCATTCTCTCACATCAATCAAAAGTAAAATCAAACACTGCATTCTCTCACATCAATCAACCTCATTCAGCGCCAGCTCTAACTTGCCAATCTCCATCTGAATGAGAGTCAATACAATGTAACACAATAATATGAAATTTGGGGCCACTAAAAGTTGACTTTGAGAAAAGTTACAAAACTGAACATGTATCAAATCAAAAATCATCTAGAGATGCCTGGGTGGCTCAGTTGTTAAGCATCTGCCTTCAGCTCAAGTCATGATTCCGGGGTCCTGGGATCGAGCCCCACATTGGGATCCTTGCTCGGCGGGGGGTCTGCTTCTCGCTCTCTCACTCCCCCTGCTTGTGTTCCCTCTCTCGCTGTGTCTCTCTAACAAATAAATAAATAAAATCTTTTTTTAAAAAAATCAAAAATCATCTAATCCCTGGCAGAACATATGCAGCAAGGCTGAGAAGAAGAAATTGAGAAACACACGAATTCTAAATATCATACTTCAATCATGTTCTCAAAGATCACTTCTTTGCAACCACTTTAAAGATCCCATTTAGTTAACACAATCTTTTAGAGGCAGAGAGGAACCAATCCTGTCTTTCAAAGGGGGGAAAAAAAAGAGAGAGAGAGACAATTTAATGACTTGCCTCAAAGTTACTCAGTAAATCCATAGGTATGCTAGAACAGTTCTTATTCCCTGAAGTTCTCTTTCGTTTTGTAAGAGGAGAAAAAGGTTAGTAAAAACTTTCAGTAAGTCATCCAAAAAACAGTAAGGCAAAAATAACACCATGAAGAAGCTGGTGGCTCCTGGGGGTGGGGGTGGGGGGAGGGAGTCCAAAGCAGTAACAGATTGTTCAAATCCCTTTAAAAATATGAATTCCAGCACACACCAGCTTCTTCCAGCTCCTCGCCGTGTGTTCTAAGAATTTTCCTCTTGATCAGTAACTCAACACCACACACTGCCCACCTCGAAGACTTGAAGATACCATCTCCCCTCACTTCACACCACTCCAATCTGAACCCTCAACTCTAGGCTGCTCCCATGTGCAACTCAGCACTTCTCAATCCAACCTTTAACTCAACTCTGATTCCTTCTCAACCAACGCTCTCTGGATTCCCTCAACCGTAAGCAGTTTCCCGAATCATCCTCTGAGCCATTGGTTTTCACTCAACTCAATCCCCAAAATGTCACAGGGGCCTCCTCACTCAGAGCATCCTGTTAATTACCTGTCCACAACAGGTCCTCCCTCCCCGTCTCCCTTTTTGCGCACGGTTACTTGTCCCTCACTCTGAGTTGCCGTCTTACTCACCTTACCCAACCCTTCAGGATCCCTTATTTCCTGTCTTTCAATAACCTTTCTTCCCATTTTCAGTCGGGGCTCGCCCCACACCAATTCCCGACCACTCCTCCCCACTAAGATTCCCCACGCCCCACTCCAGGTTCTTCAGACCCAGCCCCCCGTTCCAACCACCCTTCAGACCCCGCCCCCTAGGGCCCCTCTCTCCTTCAGGCCCCTCCCCCAATATCCCCTCTCTCTTCAAGCCCCGCCCCAATCCCCCCTCCCGCGGCTCTCCCTCCCACTCAGGTCCACAGATCACCTCAGCGACGTACCCAGCCTCCTCTGCCTCTTTCCGACCTAGCCGCAGCAGCCCCGGGAGCGAATCCTCCCCCACCTCCGCTCCGGCTTCGTCCCGTCCTGCTCGCTCCCCGGCAATCTCCCTCTCTCGCCGCCGCCGCCCCTTTTGCCAACCCGGAAATGGATCTGCTCCCACCGTCCCCAGCGTCCGCGAACAAAATGGAGGCGGGGGAGCGAGGAAGAGGGAGCGGGGAGCGAAAAGAACTACACGCATGCGCTCCTGGGAAGCCCGCCCCCTGCCGGCGCTCGTAAAGGCGTAAGGTAGCCGCCATCTTGGGAAGGTCGCTAGGATTCCGCTTGCCTTTTAATATCGGGGTTTGCAACTTTGGCTGCAATTGGAGTCATCGGCGAAGACTTAAACAGATATTGGAGCCTAGAGATTCTGATTTAATTGGTCTGGGGTATGGCCTACGCATCGAGTCTTTTAAAATTGCACAGGTGTAGCTAACGTGTTGCGAGAATGAGCTAGAGTCTTGAATATACCTTTCCCGTCTTTATTTTACCGCGCGCACGCGCGCGCACACTCCCACCGCGTAAAAGTCCTTCCCTAATTTAGAGTCAACGAAGGACCCGCCTCAGTCAACCCTGCAAGGCCCAGTAGTCAAGCTCCTGTTGTCATAGCAACAAAGAGGCAGGCCCTTGCTAACATGTCATCTTTAACGTCATCTTAGACACCTGACCCTAACACCCGTCTCTTCCGCGGGCCGGAGCGTTGCGGGGGAGGTTGGTGGGAGTTGAGGGGGGTTCCCTAGCTTCCAGGGTTGGGGGATGGTGCTGCTGACTCCTCCAGCGGCTTGGGTTCGGGAGAGGAATACTGTGCCCTCCCTGGTGGGCCTGCTGTTAACTCCTTCCCAGCTGAATAAGGATCTCTCCCTAGTCCCCTCAGGAAAGCTCTTTTCCACTATAGCTAACCTCATTGCCTCATATCCTCAAAATGCTCTTTGCGTCTCTCTGTCATCCTTCCTTGAGTTGAATACAAAGTAAGGGACAGGATTGGGATTTAGTTCTCACTACTCACTAGCTGTGTGCCCTTGGGCTTCAGCTGCCCTATCTGTAAAATGGGGCATAGTGCCTGTCTCAGCTGTTTCATAGAGTTGTTGGAGGCTCAAATCAAGTAACAATTGCGAAGAGGTGATAAATGAGAAGTTGTTTTATTTTCGTTTTCCTTCTGTTCTGCCATGAGTAGTGCTGGGCAGCACCCACTAGTCAGTGTCACAGCGTTCATTGAGAACCTGCTGTGGGCTAGGCACCATCAGATGGTTACAGAGGTGACTAAGAGCCTGTCTTCTCAGGGCACTCTCTGTGTGGTGGGCAGACTGGCATGTAAACAGCTAGCTGAGATACAAGTCAGCATGTAATTAGTGCCATGGGGACATATGTGCTGTGAGAGGTCAAACAGGGAGTGATTAACTCCTGCCGAAGAATGGGAAAAGGTTTCGTAAGTGGTTTTGAACTGGGCCTTGAAGGATGAGTAGAATTTTATTACCAGTCAGAGAAGGCAGGGAACACATTCCAGGCATAGGGATCAGTGGGTGCGAAGGTAAAGATTTTCAGGTATGCAGTCCTGCGTGTCTAAAGGTAGGCTGATTGGGTCAGGGAGATGGTAGACCCAAACTCCCAGTTCTTCAACTTCATGTTCATCATGTCTCCTCCTTGCTCACCATATACCGTGTGGACCTGCTTTCTTTCTTTCTTTCTTTTTTTTTAAGATTTTATTTATTTATTTGACAGAGAGATCACAGTAGGCAGGCGGGGCAGGGGGGTGGGTGGGGAAGCAGGCTCTCCGCAGAGCAGAGAGCCGGATGCGGGGGTCGATCCCAGGAGCCTGAGATCATGACCTGAGCTGAAGGCAGAGGCCCAGCCCACTGAGCCATCCAGGCACCCCGTGGACCTGGTTTCTATCACTGCAATGTTCCAAGTGGCTCCTCTGCCCCTTTCTTATTTTATAAGACTTCATTCAGATGTCCCGTCCTCAGAGGCATTCCCTGCCCACTGTAGCTTGTGTCAGCTCTCCCCGCCCTTCTCTATAACATCACTCTATGGTAAAGGCAACCACATCTCACCTGAGGAACTAGGTGCGGGCTTCATGAAGAAAAGTGACATTTAAGTGAGGCCTGATGGGAGAAATAAGAATTGGGCAGGGACAGAAGACAGAGAAAAGCATTCCAGAGCAGAGGGAATGTAGAATCATGGCACATTCCAAAAACTGAAAGCATTTTGATGTGCTAGAGTTCTAGCTAGAACTTATGAGATAGGGAAAAATTATGAGAAATTCGGTCAACGAAGACATCGTAACATCTGACATTTAATTAACATCATGTTACTGTGTAACATTGGTATAACTTCACATGTCATAACTCATTTAATCCTCATAATAACTTTCTGAGGTAAGTAGTATTCCCCCAATTTTACAAATGAAGAAACGGAGACACAGCATGGTTAACCATCCTTCCCAAAGTCACATACCTTGTAAAATAGAAGAACTGTCTCCAGAGTCTGCTGTTAATGCCCATACCAAATGACCCTGCATTGTCGTTTGTGATGTGATTTCCCAAAATGACGAAAGACTCTTGGCCAAGTTCTGAACAACACAAAACAACACAGTGGTTGTATTCATTAAAAAGAGAGGTTATATTAAGTTCGTGCAAAAAATATTCCATGCTTGTACTTTGCCTTTTCGATAATAGGACCTGGGAGACCTCCCAATAAACAACAAAAGAATAATACTGAAAAACATCTTAAATGCTTTGATGAAAGACTAAGGAATGATGGCAAAACAAAGTAAACAAAGCAAAACACTGAGGCAGGTTTTTGCTGAGGACATTTGCCTGACTAGGTGAACCTGAGCTTGTCAGTGTCTCCTGGAAAAAGGAAACACCTCAGAACCTCCTCATCCGGGAAGTTTTAACAAAAGATTCTCCTTCCTAAAGATGGGACCCCCAAAGGAATACAGGGCTCTATTTCTGGTAAGGGTGAACCAGAAATAAGCCTGTCCCCTCCTTCCTTGGGAATAGTGTTAATGGAGATATAGATTATAGGCTTAGAAAGGTGGGTTGTTTTTTTTTTTAATACATGGATTTTTCACATGGAATGTCCAATCAGACATTGAAAGCCACGTGGAGGGGCGCTTGGGTGGCTCAGTGGGTTAAAGCCTCTGCCTTCAGCTCAGGTCATGATCTCAGGGTCCTGGGATAGAGCCCCGCATCAGGCTCTCTTCTCAGCAGGGAGCCTGCTTCCCTTCCTCTCTCTTTGCCTGCCTCTCTGCCTACTTGTGATCACTCTGTCAAATGAATAAATGAAATCTTAAAAAAAAAAAAAATGAAAGCCACGTGGAACCCAGGATCTTGGTTGCATGGATCCTTCCCTTGCATTGTGGCACTCTCACATCCCTGATTCCTGCTTACCGGAAGCCTTATACATAGCACATCCTTTTCGTGGTGATAAACAAAAAAGCTTCCACAAATTTCCAGAATGCCACCATGAAAAACCACTGCCCCAAGGCACACTCTCAAGTTCACAGGAGCCAATTTATGAAGCACTTTATTATCTGTTGTGAAAAGTTCGATTTTATCTTCCAGGTGAGAGGGAAACCATTGAAAGTTTTAAGGAGAGAAGTGCCATGACCCCCTTTGCCTTCTAGAAGAATCTCTCTGCAGGATGGAGGATAGATTAGATGGGGCCAGACTGGAGGCAGAAACACCTGTTGGGAGGCTGCTGTAGACATCTAAGTGAGAGATGATGGTTGCCTGTGCTGAGTGGCAGCTGGGCACCAGCTGGACACAAAGGCTTTGGAGGCAAGGCTGCCTGTCTCCAGAGCCAAAGGGCTCAAGTTTCAGGTCTCCCCACTCCTGAATAGGGTGACACTTTGAGCAAGTTACTCAACCTCTATCACCCTCAGGCTTCTCATCTATGAAATGGAGATAAGACTGGGTGGAATGTGTCCAAAGTGTGTACATACTTGGAAAGCACCCATTAATCTTAGCCATGTTCATTATTAGGTATGAGCAGTAGAGATGGAGAGAAATAATTCTAGAGATATTTAAGAAGTGGAATGTGAGGGCCAAGGACAGGGAAAAGCCAAAGATGACTCCCAAGCTTCTGGCTAACCTCCTATGTGTGCGTGGTACTGACACTTAGCTGCTTAGTTAGCTTGGAGTGACCAGGGCTGTGAATGAGCCTGAGGAGCCTGGTGAGGAAGGAGGGTAGAGAAGTCCAACAGGCCGCCGCATGTTTGGGGCTGGAAGTTAGAAGAGAAATCCTAGCAATCTGGGACTCCTAAACTGTGGTAGCTACTCTCCAAAGATGGCCCTTACACTCAGAACTCCTTGTATTCATTGAATCTGGGCTGACCTGTGACAGCAGGAGTCCTGCTGTATCAGGTCCAGGACTAAGCTTTAAGAAGACCCAGCAGCTTCCACTTTCATGTGCGAAATCAGCTCCTCTGCTACAGAGATCATCTGGAGAGAAAAGATTTGACATGGAGACAGAGAGGTCCAGACATCCCAGCATTCCAGTCGTTGCCACCAGAGTGTGAGACAAGCGAACCAACTGTCATGGACGTTCCATCTCCAGTTACCTTCTGACTTCAGCCACATGAGACACCCCAAGTAAGACGGCAGAACTGTCCAACCAAGCCCCCATCAACCTGGAGGATCATGAGAAGTTATAAAACAGTGGTTGTTTTAAGCCACTAAGTTTAGAATAGTCGGTTAGGCAGTGATAGATCCCTAAACAGAATGAAATGGATGAACTCTAAGCCCAGGTGTAGAGTGAGATGAGAAGAGAGCTTAAGACAGAGCGAAGGCAACCCACGTGCCAGGACCAAGCTGAGGGAGAAGGCTCACAAGGAAAATGGAGATAAACGGGATGGAGGGAAATCCTGTCATACTAGGGCATACTGTCCTAGAAGTGGTGATAAGTGCTCAAGCAGGAAGAGTGATCAAAAATATCAAATGCCAGCAAAAGAACGATTAGATAAGTGTGGTAACATGGGTGTCAGTGACCTTGACAAGAACAGTTTCATTGAGTCCTGAGGGCGGGCCACTCATGCAGTGGGTTGAAGAATGAAAAAGCAACAAAACCAAACTGGAGTTCCGATTTTTGTTTCTGTTTTCTTTTGTTTGTTTGTTTGGTTTGTTGGTTGTTTTTTTGTTTTGGGGTTTTGGGGGTTTTTT